GAAAATAACAAACAAAATCCGGCCAAATCCGATCCTTAAGGCCATAGATAAAACGTCCCACTCGATTAAAGCCACAAAGAACTGAAAACGGCGATCACCGCAAAACCCTAAAACCCGAATTGATACCACCAATGCAATATTGTAGGGCAAGCGCTACCGATTCCTCCGTCAATGGAAGGATGCCGAGGAGAATGAAACAACCAGGTAGAATTCCTTAGAAGATCCGGGATGAGTCAACGAGAAGTGCACCGTGGATCTGAACTTGTCACGTACCTGAGATTCAATCGCCAAACCCGGGGAGAAGTCCCAATGAAGGAGACTCTCCATAGCGTCGTGGTGGCTGCCACGGCTGGAGTGGCCGGTGACAGGATGGTGGCCGCCGGGGACGGAGTGGCCACCGGCGGTGGTGGCGAGGGAGTCGCCTAGGAGGAGAGGGAGTCGCTTTTCAAATCATCATGCATATTATATTTTGTTAGGACAAGCCTTTGACCAACAATTACACCACTATAGTAGTGATGGCCCTCACAAAAAAAATACTACGGTAGTGTAATTTTTGGGATACAAAATCGTAACCACAAGTACACTAAAATACAGATCTAATGACATGAACTTTTTTTATGAGAAACTTTCAATCTATTCATCTTCAATCATGATAGTGTAAAGAACAACAAAGATAATAAAAAATTAAAACCATGTCACATAAAAGATAATTGGTGGCAAACCAATTGTTTTCATAAGATTTAATAAGATGGGTAATTTAGAACGGAGGAAGTATTACCGTGTCTTCATGAAAAAAACTAAACATACTATTGGATCTAGCCTCGTGGCAGGTTGCATTGAATGTAATTTTTATTATTTATTATGATATTTCTTATACTGCCATGATATATGATAAATAGATAGGAAGTTCTCTAAAAAAATTTAGCCTCATGAAAAGGGCAACACAAAACTAGCGCGATACGCAGCAAAAGAGCACGACACGCAGAAGTAGGCCCTTCCCCCACTAGTTTCGAGGGAAAACCGAGAGAGAAACAAGAATGCGAATCAACCTGTGGTTGGAGGCTTCCAACAATGTGCATTCAGTGGCCCTGTGACTACTTTGGATCCTTTTGATCTACACTCTTCATCCGCGGCGGTTGCTGTTCTAGTGCGTTAGTTTTATGGGACCTTAGCACGACGACTTCCTGACTGTCTACTACAACAAGGTTTGCCCGGTTCCGATGAGGGGGGGATGATGACAACGGCACGCCTTCGACTCGCTTCAGTGTTTGTAGTCGTCGCTAGGTGGTCTACGGATCTGGATGTAATTTTTATTATTTCTAGTGTTAGATTGAAAGTTTTTTTGAAAAAAAATTCAAGATGATGTGCCTGCTCAATTTCGGATGTAGTCAGAGGGGTAGAGTGTCCGTGTATGCGTTCATAGGATGATTGTATGTGTATATCTATAATACCTAAATAGTTCATCCCCACTATGTTATTTCTCTTGACATGCAGCCTATCCACATCAGCAACATTGCCACGTCAACGATTAGTTAGAGACTTACATATGGGACACACCACAGTTCAAAACAGACATGTTCGCTTCAGTTTCTATCGCTTGGACCCACGAGAGAGCCTCCGCACACACATCATCCAGCCCAGCCCATCTCCCCCGCTTTCAGAGTCTTAAACGGACGAGGGTAGAAATAGTAAAAAAAAGAACGTCCCACAATACCACCGCTCATCCAGCACAGGGCAACCCAATCTGCCCATCGTTCTCCCGCACGGCCGCCGGTCCTCCCGCGCAGGCGATACCAACCCAACCTGACACCACTAGAGCGCCACCAGTTCGCTGCCCTTCCTCCTCTCTTCCATCCAGTTTCCTTCTCCTCCCGTCGTGCGCTGCGCGCCCACGGCGACCACATCTCCATCACGCCTCATATGTGCGTCGCCGCCACTGTAGGCCTCCTCTGCAGCCCGGCCAAATCTGGCCACCACCTCGAGGTCAGCACCGCTCCTCACCGCGCCATGGCCGCCGCCCTCGCTCGCGCGTCGCTCGCCTCACAACACACCATCCTGCTCGCGCTACCCGTCCACCACCGCGCGCTGCCGCCATCAGCCGTCTGCTTCGACCGACCGGCCGCCACCAGTATGACGTCTCCTGGGCGCTGGGTTGGGGCCGGGCGCGACTCTGTTGCTGCTACCCCAAGTCGTCGAGGAGCAACATGAATCGGGCTGGGCGCACCCGTTCCTCTGCTCCGATCTTCTAGGCGCGGTTGGACGCGGGCCGTCCGCCGTTTGGTCACTGGCGTCGTTGTTCTGCTCTGCTATCGTCATCGTTTGCGAGGAGCCCGGTTCCATCAGTAGCGCCGTCTTCCCAGGGACACCACATTCTGGTTTTCCACATAGCTTACTTCACTGCTACTAAGTATGGACTAAGCTTCTCGATGTGGAGATCATGTAATCATGTTGTTCTTCAGTAATTTTTCATTTGCTGATACTGACCACACAGCCCACTGCCTGAACATCTGTGCATCCCCTCAACTGGCCCACACTTTTATCTTATCAGTTGCCATTTACGGCCGTCCAATAAACTCTTGTCCTAAAAATCAAAGAAACCCTTCTGTTGAACGTCATTGATGATTGACGCTTCACATCCTCTCCCCACTATGTCCACAAGAAACTGATGGATTCCCATTTAAATTGGGTGCTCCACAACTCATTTCATTCCCGTCGTCTTCCATACGGGTGGCCGTCTGCCATACTACTCATGCAGCTACCGGTGGTGAGAAACTCCCTCCAATGGTTTCGTCATCTTAAATCCACCTCATGAGCCCCTCTCCCTTCCCAATCCGCTCTGTGGACCATGACCATATTCATGCTCCACCATCACTGTTGTGACGCCGGGAATAACAAGGCTGTTGTCATGGGATGTTGATAGGCCGAAGAGGAGAATGGTGACAGTAAGGAGGCCAGTACAAATCTACACTTCCTAAATACAGGTGAGTCTCTGCCGCCTCAAGTTGATTCCACACCCTAGCATTCAAATTTCTCATGTGCCATCGTTACTTTTGGACGTAGGGATTTTGGTGTAGGGATTTGCTTGCCGTGTCTAGGTTATGTTTGATTTTTCTAATCATGGTGTTCATGCCCTTAACTCTGTTTTGCCAGGTTTCAACGACATTGGACATTTGGGATAAATATTTTTTGTTTTCATCCCTTGCTTCGTGTCTACATAAATACATGATGATTTACTTTTTCTGGTCTTGCTGCCATGAATTTGCATGCAGGAGATACGGGTTGCTGACAGAAATTAGAAGAGCAATTTCTACCATAATTTGGACATTGTTTCTTTCAAGGCTGCAAATGGAATACCTCACATTCTTTATTCCAAAATCAGGTTTGTTAGCTCTCTTTTAGTTAAGCCTCCCATATTATTTCTGATTTTTTAGTTATTTCACATTGCTAAATATGCAAAAAATGATATGTTATAAGTACAGTTTCAGGTGTTCTAGAAAGTGGAATTCTGGAATTTTGATCTTCTGCTGCGAGAGAGCAAAAAATTGTTTGTCCATTATGCTATAATTGTTGTTTTATAGACCCGGTTCATGAATCCTTAGTGAAATCTTTTGTTTCGTTATGCTATTGCTTGATGAAAGTTCATGCCTTGGCCGATGGAAAGGTATGTTGAACTTGCTATGATGTAGCCGATGTAAAGTTCATTTTTCCATGTACTCATATACCACCACGTGTATCAGTTAGTTCATTTTCCTCATATGTTTCTACCGCACATTACTACTATTTTACGGCTATGCCCTACCGCACATTACTACTATTTTACGGCTATGCCTATGGATTTTAAGTTCTGGAAATAAGTAATGCTGATAAGGCTGTCAAGCTTTGCGTGTAAACTAAACATGTGGAAAAATTCAGTGTCGCCTATACTAAAAAATCATGCCCATCACACCATTTTTTCAATTTGTAGCAGTGAGCAGAAAAGTAAGAGTGCATTTTATTTAGCTTCAATTGGTTCATGTATGATGAATTGATGACCAACATTTTTGTCTTGAAAGCCATTTGTAGATACGTTAATTTTCCGTGCAACATTGCAAACTAGCTTTTCTATTTCTATATTTTATTTGTAGGCCATTATATTACGACTGAGAATGCAAAGAACCTGAATGGTAAAGATTTAAGCTTATCCTCATTTTTCCAGCTACCCAGGTCTTCTTAATGTTGCCGATTATTGTCGTCTTAGACTCTGAGTTGACTTCTTAACAACGATTATACCACATATAATGTATCATATTATTGATTCAAATTAGTTGTCTTCTTTTGTATGTCGATGTTACTCTAAAAATCCGTGACATATTCCTGCAGCAATGCGCGGGGCATCATCTAGTATGATGAGTGCGTATGTCTGTGTTAAAAAAAAACAATAATGCCACCGCGTGAATAACCGGAAGTATTCCTCGGTTTTCCCCTTTGGCTGCCTGCCTAGCTGAAACCGACGACGACGCTACCACTCTCCTTCCTTCCTTTCCTTCACCGCGTCTCCTCCCAGACAAAATCCCATCCGGAATCAACTTCTCTCCCTCCGATCCTCTTCCTCCCCCTTCCCCGCCGCCTCCGCCGGCGAGAATCGCCGCCGCGTCCGTCGCCACGACCTAGGAGCCCTCCTTCACGGGCGGACCTCTTCCCGGAGCCACCGGAGGGCGGGGACGGGCGGCCAGTCTCGTCCAGAGCCGGTAAGCATCCTCCCCACCCCACCCCACCCGCCTGCCGCTTCACGATCGAGATCTCGAGCGAGCTCAGATCCGCGGGAGCAGCTGGCGTGCGCTCGCAGGGTAGAGTAGGGTTGGTCGCGCTTTCCCCAATCCTGCTCTGTCGACCTCGTCGGGTCATTGGTCGGACGGACGATCAGATTTAGTTTTGGTAGATTTCGTTGATTGCTGGTACCGTATTGAATGCCTTGCCCCTTACGCCGTTGCTCCTCTTTCTTATCTGCTTCGTTTGCAGGTATGCAGAGCCAGATCGTGTGCCACCGCTGCCGGAGGGTGCTGGCCTACCCGTCAGGGGCGCCCAGCGTGTGCTGCGCCATGTGCCGAGCCATCACCGCCGTGCCACCCCCAGCGCCAGGTACTGGATTGCAGCGTGGTTTCCTTTCGGTTGCTCTTTCCGCGTTGGCATCGCCTCACGACGTGTATATACCATCCTGAGGTTCAACTCTGGGAATGTTGCTTTGGAAGTAGGATAGAGTTTTGCATTGTATGAAAAATGCTATAAGACCTGTGTAGAAAGATTTGTGAGTACACTCTATAGCCAAATAGTTAGCATGGGGTTTAAATTTCATTGTGCCGACGTGCATGTTTACTTTGATCAGATTCTTTTCTATGTTACTTTAGTTCAAGCTTCTGTGCGCCTAGTTTCACTATCTGCTGCTTCTATGATATGGATACTTACTCCATGGCTGATAATATCAGTGTGATGGATAAATCTTATGTTGCACCCTGTAATTTGTTCTCAAAAGGCCAAGTGGTTTTCTGCAAAAAGCATAGAGAAGTATTGTAAATTCACAGGAAATAACAAAATCCCTTAAAGTTCATTTGGGTTGGATCTGTATATACACTATTTTCTTAAAACACAAATCTGTACATTCACAGCTGAATAGTGGATACATTTTTTCTTTTGGATCTGTACATGCAATTATTTGTACTGGGTTAGTGGTTAGTTTTATGTACCATTCGAATTATAACTGCTCTGTTGATATTTGATAACTCTATGCTTCTAGCAAGAACCCAGAATTGTACCTCCTTCCATCCACTGACTAAATTGTGGTTTCTTGGTCCTTTTCACTTAAATACAATCTTCCATTTGTTATTCTTGTGCTCCCTCCGATTCAATTTACTTTGCATATTTGATTTTTCCAAAGTCAAACATTATAAGTTTGACCAAGTTTATGGGAAGAAATATGAACATTTACAATAACAAATATATGATATGAAAATATATTCAGTGGTAAATCTGATGGTATTGTAGATGTTGATAACTTTTTCTATAAACTTGGTCAAAGTTTACTTGTATGCGAAGTAAATTGAAACGGAGGGCTATCCCAACTGTCAAACCGCTACTACCTCCTGCTTACCAATGTACCAAAGTGCTGTTTAGATTGTCGTATTTTCACAAGAATCTTGGATCATCATACTTTGTTTTTTTCTTAGAAGCTTCATTCAAAAAATAGGATTGGAGTTGTTGAATTCCTGCATAATGCATCTCCGTGCCCCTTACGGAAATCAATATGGGATATGAATTTTCCTTTGAGAAGTCCAATCCAATGCATTCTCTCTTTCTCTACTGCTCCTCTTAAAAAAATTGCCTACAATTTTTCCAGTTTTTTTACTGTCATCATCCAAATGCGCCATCTATGATATTCGTATGTCTTGAAATACTCTGCGGGATTCATAGTTCGATGTCATTCATTGTCTTGCATTATTTTCTGTTCCTGAGTTCCAAAGAGGCCCAATTAAAAATGAATATGTCTTTGCTACGTTTTACACCAACCAAGCAACCATACTCAGATGAGATCCGTTGGCTATCTTCCTTTTCTGTGTCTGTTATATGGTGATAAGTAGAAAACCTTCTTCTTCCCTTGAGGCGGCAATAAAAATCTTACCATGCTATACAAGTGGCACAGACTTCCAAAGGATTAACAACTAGTTGCATCAGTAAAAGCTTCAGGAAAGTAGGTTTTCATCTTCTTCACAGGTCACCAGTTGTGTATTCTATGCTTGAGACATATTTCGTTGCTTTTCGCTTCCCACCATGCCTTGCTCTCCCGTCATATTTTTTACCACATGTATCTCGTGCAGTGCTGATTTTATTGATTTTTTGCCATTGAACGTGTCAATCCTTGCACCGTTTGGATGTTTGCATTCAGGCCTGGTATTGGGTATTAAGAAAAAGGGTTTCCCCCCGCTTTGTATTACAAAGCAACCATCCGATACAACCAACGATAGGGGCTGGGCCGGAAGCAGCACAAACACGCCCAAAAGAAAGGAAAGAGAAAAAAGAAAAGAAACAAATGCCGATAACGGCGGATCGACAAAAAACGACGAAGCCTTGTGACCGCTGCGTCCACCGAAGATCGCCCACCAAGCTCCGAGATTCCGAAGTGCCGGTACCCAACAACACCTCCAAGAAGGGACGCGACGATGACGACGCTGCTGCCAAGGGTTTCCCCTGGTACACGGCGAGGAGAGAGGAAGGGTAGCCCCGACGCCCTCCAGGAAGGTCCGGCGGCACCCTCAGGCGCCACCGCGTCGGTGTCGGCCAAGCCAGCAGAGATTTCTCCCGATCCCAGCCTCTACCTCAGGCACTCCGGAGCTCGCCACCAGACCGACCACCACCCTGCGCCAGCACGGACACGAAGCTTCCCACGCTGTCTCACCACGGCACCGCGAAGATGGTCTGCACAACGAAGAAGAGGAGTCGGGACTAGGGCAACAACACCGTCGGCATACGGGAGGGCCCCACCCGAAATCAAACCAGCGTCGTTCCTCCCATCCTGTCTCGCCCGCACATGCCCTAAGGAATGGCGGCAGCGCAGGTAGCCCATCCCGCCTGCATCTACCTCGAGCTCCGGCGGCCGATGTGCCTCCACCCGTCCAGCACAGGATCCCTTCCTCCCCGTCTCCACCCTGAGCTCCAGCGGCCGGCGCCACCCTTCCTCCCTGTCTCCACCCTGAGCTCCAGCAGCCGGCGCCACTCTCCCACCCCGCCTCCACCCTGAGCTCCGCCGACCGGCGTGCCCCCACCCCGAGCTCCAGCGGTCGGCGCCACCCTCCTGCCCCGCCTCCACCCCGAGCTCCAGCGACCGGCATGCCTGCACCCCGAGCTCCGCCGCCCGGCGCAGGTGTGTTGCTGACCACCTCCTTCCCTCTTCGTAGAGCTCCAACCTTCTCTCCTCTCCCCTGTCAAGTGTCCGGCCTCCTCATTGCCCGATCTCCTGGCAAAGTCTCATACAACTCAGTGCCTCACGTTGACCATCCAAACAACATTTGACATTCAATCTCAATATCAAGTCTGTGTTCCGAATACTTAAACATCCAAACAGAAGTATTGGCATTCAATCTCAATGCCAATATACTGTGATATTGGTATTCAACCCAATGCAATGCCAAGGCTCCCAATGCAAACATCCAAACGGAGCGTTGGTAGTTTTCTGTCCTATGTTTTCCAAGATTTCCAAAGGGCTACTGTTTTATGGACTATACTTTGTTCAAGCAATATGAACATACTTATAGAAGTTTAATTTGTAACAAAAATGCTTACACAAGTTACGTATTCTCTATTGCAGCAGTGGAAATGGCTCAGCTTATATGTGGTGGTTGCCGAACTTTGCTGATGTACACCCGTAATGCAGACACTGTGAGATGCTCATGTTGCAGTACTGTCAATCTTGTCAGACCAGGTAATGCCAATTCTGCTTCATATTCTGTTATTTCTTCTTATGAGCTTTCCACATTTATGCTTTTGATACATAGGCATGTTAATTTGTCAGAGGAATGTGGACTTTTGTTTTGTTAATCTGCAGTTGGCAAATATGTGTCATCCATGGAACTTTAGATGTGGTCAATTGTCTTCCATAATTAATTTCACAAATACTGATTCAAGACCTGAGTGGCGTGTGATATGGTTTAGAATGATAGCAGCCTCACATGGAGAAGTGTGTGTTCTAGCCAGGTCGAGTTTACATTGTTGGTCTAGTTACTCTCTAGTACAGCCTAGATTGCATGCCAAAATTAAATAGAACATAATGTTTAGTTAATTAAAAATGTGCTTTGCGCTTTCCCTAGTAGGATATGTTATACTGCCTCCATACGAAATGTTATGCTCCAATTATGTATGGATCTCCTTTCTTACTTGTGAGTTATTTCACTTCTGTTCATAATGCAGTCAATAATATAGCCCACGTGAACTGTGGTCGGTGCCGAACAACTTTGATGTATCCACATGGAGCACCTTCTGTCAAATGTGCCATCTGCGATTATATCACAAATATCACAAATACTGGAGTAAGTTAACCCTTGCCCTACAGCATCATGTGATGCAAGTGTAATTGTTTAGCAGCAAAATTTACTGATTTCAAACCATCTGTGCTATGAATTTCAGATAAATACCATGTCACCAGCGCCATGTCCAAGGCCTACATCAAATGAATCTGCATATAATGCCTCATCAGCTTCTGTTGTATGTCCACAGACATGTCTTGTATTTTGACAAGTTGTTCCTGGAGAGTAGAATGATTTATCTCATATTTTCATCTTCTTGCAGCCCACACCTCAACCCCAGAATGTAACCGTCGTTGTTGAGAACCCTATGACAGTTGACGAAAAGGGTAAACTGGTAAGCCCCCCTGTTTATTTATGTCTCAACAATCCATTGAACCGTGTCGTATTTTACATTGCTGATTGGATTTTAGAGTGCTTAGCGACCTCTGTTCACTTGACACAGGTCAGCAACGTCGTAGTTGGAATTACACCTGGGAAAAATTGAAGGGTTGTTTCTCACCTGATGTATACCTGTTTTGTGTTCTATATAAGAACCTGGAAAGACCATGTACTGGTATTTCCAGCCTTTGGTGATTGGTTGCTGCCTGACCTGGAAGAACAAAGACGCATACAGTGCTTTTTGGAATTTCACCAAGGAAAGCATGCATTTCGAAAGCTGTATTCTGAATATGTTGATTCTTTTGTCTGTATATGAGTTCTATCAGACTTCACTATGGGCATGACAAAATGGTATTATACATATTTTGAAACTTTACACGCTGTATGACATGACTTCTTTTTTGGTGTTTTCGTGCAGCCTATGCAATTTTACTGCATCGAAGTTAATGTCAAAGCAGAAAAATAATTAAATAAATAATCGAACTAGATCAAATACACATACATAAGAGTAGTGTAACCAGATTTGATAGATTAACCACAAAGGTAGTTGGACAACAACACATTTTCTCGAAAAACAGGATAACCCTAGGTTTTGCATGTGATGTACAGTACATAGCAAGGTAAAGCCAATCGTTGATGCCAAATATGGGCTTAAAGGAAAACTAAGACCATCCAATCTTCACAATCATTGATGCCAAACAAAATTGGCTTGAAAAAGCCAAGGCCATCCAATCTTAACAATCTTATCGCAAACCCTATGACATGTGCTCCAATAACGATCATTTGCTATTCTGGACAAATCCTTTAAGAAGGGATTGTTGCATGTGCACTGTTGTTGACAAGTTGAACCATAATTTGAACTTAGGATTTTTAGTCCCTGAGCTGAGCTTTGAGGCAACACTTTTGACAAGGGCTTGACACACCCTGATATTGCCTGATCTGCCCCCCACCCCACCCACGTTGCTGGAGAAAGCAACGGTAGCCCGCATTATTACTTCCAACCATTGTTGCCCCTTCTTTGAATCCGTTAATGACAGAGGAAGGGACACTTAGACGTAAGGTGATGACTTAGATCTAGTCGTCATTGCAGCCATCTGATAGATCCATCAATGACATCCTAGAGGACGCCACCTCAACGTCCTCCATCGCGGCCACCGTTAGTATGATCACGCCAACCCCAACATGGTTGGTACCACCGAATGTGATGCATGCCCATTGCAAAGTCGAGCCACAACCACGCACGCCCTGGCCTAGATCGATGCACCACAACATAGACCTGACCCACGTGCGGCGATTCATCTCTCACACGAGCGCCCCCCCCCCCCTCTCGCAATTCTAGCGGTCTCCAAGCGCACATTCACCCCTACTCGCCATCTAGTGCAGATGCGCCCTAGCACGAAGGGAGGAGGTTCCCTCGATGTCACGTATCCCATAGGCTTTGCCTGTCGACAACCATGGAATGCAACATGGGGGGAGGAATGAAGGAGGAGCCAAGGCTGCCATCGGCTAGGGTTGTCTCCTTGTCACCCAATGTGGGACGACACGTGAGCAACTCTCATTTTGACTAAGCCCAGCGGTTCGGTTCCGTGCCCGGTCATATACCTTATTAGAACGTGTACAATGACGCTATATAGCTGACGCGTAGAATAAGTGGTTGTGGAAGAGAAAGAAACGAAAAACAAGTTTTGCCTTCTCGTAGTTAAGAGATGATCTCTTAGGAAGAAAGATAAGACATTTGTCTGTGTTATTTACACTTTCCTGATTTAATATTAATAGTTCAAATTTTAGGATCTCATAACATTAAATGCTAGAGATACATTATGAGATAACTCATTCTACAACATGTTTATTGATTTCTCCAAATGACGTGAAATACATCAGCTTATTAACCATTTGGCATGCCTTTACTATATTGCTCAATTGAACAATTACACTTTAACCTAAGTGTCGCCAAAAAACACCACATGCTTATTTGAATTGACGCATGGGATCATAGTTTGTACGCGTCAAAGAGCAATCTAGCCTTTTGAAAGGAAATCCGTCCCTAATGATGGTTTTGGTGTTTAATGGTGATAGAGATTAGATGACTAACTATGTTTCGGTTTACACATCTATGGAAATGAAACATATTGTTGGTCGGCCCCCTAAGCTAAATCACAAAAGAAAACGACATGCAATTTTCTCGTCGATGATTTCTCCTTTTTGAGTCGTGGATATGCTATGCTATTAAGAGGGGATGCACCATGGATCTTGTGTGGAATCACTTAACACATAAAGCCAAATACCATCCACACCCTATGTGAGAAAGAGTGCCATGAATTCTCTATGTTTTGTGCTTATGAACAATGTCGAACATTTGATCGGATTGGCTGGCAAAATATCTAATAGGTGGGATGTTATGTCATATATTCTAAGGCAATATCCGGCTCTGTCCAAAGTCTACTGAACATGCTCGAACATTGTGTCGGACATCCTGTCGGAACATCCGACATGTTGGATTGTCCGACATAACTGGACAATGCACAACCGGTAGGTTTTTGGGTTGACCTTTATATACCCCCCCCCCCCTTCTTCCTTGAGATCTTCCTTGAGAAGGGGACGACTCCGCTATGCCCACACATTGATCCAAAAGTTTCATTCTTTGATTCCTCCCCATCTAGCCTTCCAATCCACTCCATATTTAGAGATAGGAAGAGGTTCACCTGGTGTACCAATCCATCTAAGAACATCTCGAGTTTTCCGATTCTCCGCGAGATCCTAGCAAGTCTAGTGGCTCTTGGGTTTGTGGGGAACCCTAGACTGGTGGTGTTTCTCGGGAGCTTCCGAATCACATGCTTGTTCCTCGTCACTCTGTGCATTTGAAAACCGAACTGAAAAACCATACAGAAAATAAACCGAACTGAACCAAATTTATGGGTTTTATGGTTTTTGGGTTCGGTATGGTATGAACTTTTCATACCAATTTGAACTTTGTTTTTTATGGTATATACAGAAAAACCGAACGGTTAACCGAATAAACCAAAGTAAAAAAATAATTTTATATTTCTTGTGATGAACAACCATACAAGTTGTCATTTTTCGTGTACATGAGTCAAATTCACTACTAAGCACGTAATTTTTTTCTTGTAACATAGTCATTTTTCTCTTTTAAAATGTTAAGCACATCCATAACCATCAACAGATGACTCAATGCATGCATATATACTTATATATATATAGTTATATACATTTGTGTAAAAGTATGTGTTTTGAGTCATAAATTTGCTAATTTTTATTACATCATTTTCAAATTCGCGTCAACTTTGGTTATTATGGTGTATACGAAACCATACCGAAATAATTTGGTATATACCGAAATCGAACCATATTTTAATTTCATATCGTATTTACCGAAGTATTAATACCATACAAACCGAAAAACCGTATAAACCGAACCATGTAAACTGAATAAACCGAATGCACATAGTGAGTTACTTGTGCTCGTTTGTGGGGGTTTGGAGCTCGCCTCAAGAGCTATCGCTCGTGGTAGGGAACCTAAGCATTCGTTGCTTGAGGTTCTCGGAGAAGAAGGTGAGCATTCATTATCATGGGAGCATTCGATGTTCCCCCTCTCCAACGGAGATTAGCACACCCCCCCCCCTTATGTGAACTTCGGATTACATCATCATCTCCACTACTTTCGGTTGTCTATGGACCCTAGCTTTAATTATTGTTATTACTTTGTGTTGCCTTCCGTAGCTTGCTAGCTTGCTTTAACACATCATATAGGATTGTATCACCTAGTTGCATTTCTAGAGAACTTATATTTCCGCACTAGCCTCTAAAAGCAGCTAAGAAAAGAATCTTTCTCTTTACTATGGAACTTTATTCGTGGTCTGTTTGAGCAGTTACAGGGTCTTAAGGTTAACTTCCACAAGAGCCAACTCTCCGCCTTTGGAAATGTCAAAGGGGAAGAGGATCAGTATAAGCAAATTTTCGGTCATGGGTTTGTCTCTTTACTGTTTATATACCATGTCATTCGAATGTAGTTTGGGAAACTCCTCAACAAGGAATGTAAATGTATCAAGGATCTTTTCGAGATCAAGCTAGGTTGTTGGATGAGAAATCTTATGTCCATCGGGTCAAGACTAAGCCTAATCCATGCAGTTATCACAAGTCTACCGATGTTCATGTTGTCCTCCTTTGAAATACCTAAAAGGGTACAAAAAAGATTGGAATGCTATAGATCTAGATTTTACTGGCAATGTGACAAACATAACACATATATCGTCTCACAAGATGGGATACAATTTTTCTTTCAAAAAATTAAGGAGGCCTCATGGTGGAGGATCTTGATATTAGAAGTATGTGCTCTCTGAGAAAATCGCTCTACAAGATATTCACTGAGGATGATGTTTGGCAAGACTGCAAGAGGTGTTAAAACCTAAGTACCCTCACTCTAAAACCCTCTCTTAGGTTCAAGCCAAACCAAGTGACTCACCTTTCTAAAAAGGGTTCATTGGGGTAAAAATAAGTGTTTTTTCAAGGGAGCTTTCTTGGTGGTCATTGGTCAATAGCTTAACCGCTAGATTTGGGAAGAACACATGGCAGATGAGCCTCTAGCTATGTCATACTTGTGTGTCTCTCATATGGTGAGCGGAAGGATGTTTCTGTTGGGTAACGCAGTATTTCAAAAATTCCTACGATCACGCAAGATCTATCTAGGAGATGCATAGCAACGAGACGGGAGAGTGTGTCCACGTACCCTCGTAGACCAAAAGTGGAAGCGTTTGACAACGCGTTTGATGTAGTCGAACTTCTTCTCATTCCGACCGATCAAGCACCGAACGTACGGCACCTCCGAGTTCTGCACACGTTCAGCTCGATGACGTCCCTCGAACTCTTGATCCAGTTGAGGACGAGGGAGAGTTCTGTCTGCACAACGGTGTGGCGATGGTGATGATGATGTTACCATCACAGGGCTTCGCCTAAGCACTACGACGATATGACCGAGGTGGTAAACTGTGGAGGGGCACCACACATAGCTAAGAGATGTCTGTTGTGACTTTGGGGTGCCCCCGCCTCCGTATATAAAGGGGGGAGGAGGAGGTGGCCGGCCTACGGGTG